TAGCATTGTCGGGACTAAGACACCGAAAGTCGCCAATGAGGTCGTCCAAAATCAAGCAGGCTCTTCACCAGCTCAGCTTGGGAAAAAGCCTGAAACGAAATTACAGGTATCTAGTTTATTAGACACCGATTTGTTAGCGAAGTATACATAGAAGTACGTAGAAATACGTGAGAGAAATTAAGCCGAAATAAGTTTTCGCAATAACTAACATTGAATCTTTTTGGGCTGAGCAAAAATTGACATGGCTCCGAACATGAACGCTGCCGCTAGCAGTCAATTTGACTTTTTGTGAATATTTTTCAGTTTACATATTTACACCTTATGACATCCTCATCGAACTTTGCGCCATCAATGATCTACGTTTAGTTATGGACCCAGTACCTTTGTAAGGCTCAGTCATTTTCACTGGAGAGTATTGGGTTAGATGTATAGGAAATGTCTTAATATTAATCTAAAAAACAGAAACTACGTATTTGTTTATTTTCTAACAACAGTTATATCTTACTCAGTCGTGGTATCAGTCGCACTCAATTATGTATACATCTGAATCGATATTTAATCATCACTCGTTTAATGTTTCTTAGTTATTCTTTCGTATAGAATCCATTACTTTTTTTCTTTTTTTTTTTTCTGAAATTCATTCATCCTATTACGTCATACAGCGGACGACGAATTGTGTATTAAACATACAACCGTCAATTTTAAGACTCTGAACGGGTATTTCAATACAGAAATTTCAACCAATGTTTCAGCTGGTAATACCTAAGAAACGAAAGCATTCGAAAAAAGATAAGGACGAAAAGGTTAAGAAGCGTGGCCGTCGTAAGAAGAGCATTATGGTGGCAGAGAATGTTGAAGGATCAAATTCTCTCAAACTTGTTCTTAAGAAAAAGCCCGAAGTTTCCGACCCTGTTTACAATGGTCCCCCGCCCTGCGCACCGGGTTTATGGAATCGACAAATACCTCGCGAGGTGCTGCTAAAAATTTTCCGGCACGGCGTTGAAAAATTTGGAGTCCTACCTTTCCTCATCACGTACGTTTGTGTAATTTATTCCACTTTTTTAATTATTATATTATTTGTTTTCCTCTTTCTGGAAGTGGAATTTAATTGTACAGTAGAGTAAAATGTATGTCTGTGCTTTTACGTATCTAAGCGTTCGAGAAGTTTGTCCGGAATGGAGGGCTGTTGCGGAGGACGTGTCCTTATGGGAGAAGGTGGATATGTCAATAGTCAAGGTGACGGAAGCGCAGTTAACACGGTGGGCCAGTTCCGGTATGCTGAAAAGGGTGCGCGAGCTCAACTTGTCAAACTTCGGGCCAAAAATATCTCATGGTACCATCACGAATGTGATTAACAATTGTCCTCGTTTAGAGGTACTTAATCTTTCGTACAACAACAAGCTTTCCATGGAGACGATGGAATATATCGTTAACAAATGCGATCGGCTACGCGGTCTCGACATTTCGGGAACGACCAAGAACCGGGGCGCTAGTACTTGTTCGACGTGTGCACCAAATGTTCTTAAGAGCCTTATTATCAAACGGGGAGAAAACCTCGTTCAGTTGTGCCTCGCGGAGAACGCTGTTGCCTCCCTGAATAGCATCCTCAACTTGATACCTGTAAGTTAAGTTAATACGGTAGGCATATTTCTCGTGTCAGCTTTCGATATCTACCCATCAGCAGACATTAACATGGCCGCAGGCTCAGATTGTGTGTAAACTTTGTTAGAAGTCTGATACTCTTGATGACGTGGATAAAACCAGAGCGTGCGGTAATTACTGGCAGCTATGAAATTTTGCATGAATGTATAGCTTCTCGTAATGGGTTAAGTGTCTAAATTAAGCTATCTACTAACGAATACTGCGCTAGTGCTTGTCTATATTTCAGTCACGTGAATGTATGTAACAAATCTAACGAGTAGATGCGCAACCACTTAGGCTAACGGCAACAGAAGAATATGATTGATACGCTCTTCACTTTTTTTGCTCCTTTCAGAGTTATCTTTCGAGGTTACAAATACTGGACTTGTCCAATATCACAATGACCTGTTGTATGATCTTTCCGCTCGAGCGAATCCAGGAGACGTGCTCCGACCTTCGGGTCCTTCGATTAGCAAATACACAGGTGAGGTTGGCAGCAACACCCCCAGCGGAGCAAGCCCGGTCACCTGGCTTCCCTTTGCTTGAAGAGCTTTCGATAGCCAACCTTTTCGATCTCGGTGATTCGGCACTTGAGCGTATCCTCAAAGCATCCGAAAAACTCACACTATTGGATGTACGGAACTGTAAAGGCCTCAGTGTGTCGGGCCTTATCAAGATACCCGCCTGGGACCTAACGCAATTGTACCTAGCCAATTGTGATGCAGCAACCAACCCTAATGTTGAACTGATCATGAATAAGGTAAGATAAACCATCATACCTAACTTATATGATGTATGTAAATGCTACGTAGCGTTTCCAAGATAATACCACCCTATCATATAAACATGGCTAAGATAATCTCACACCCCGTAAAATAAGTTCTGTACCTTCAAGCCTAATGATTCCACTTGGATACGTTTCCAGTGGGCGCACAGTCTAAAAGTGATCGATGTAAGTTGGGTGTCGCATGATACGGCAATCAACGCGGCGTTGCGCGCTCTAGCGACTCATTCGGAAACGCCATCGAGCGTTTATGATCTGGACTTGAAGGGTTCATCGGTATCATTTTCCACGCTGAAAATTGTCCTCGACCGGTGTCAGCGGCTGAGAAAGCTGAATCTCACATCCTGTCGTAGTCTGCCGCGAGGGATTAAACGCGTTTTTGAAGGTCCTGCAGTGGTCGAACTGCGCACGCAGGTGTTAACCGGCAAGTTCGATGAGAACGAGTGAAATCTCATCATTGAAGCAACAGAGGTTGTCCATCGCAACCATGGCTCAACGATGCATCTCCATTTCAATGTTAACCTTCCGTGTAAATGTGTTAGCACTGCGGAAGAGCCCCAGCGAACCAACTGCTACAAAGACTGGCTAATTAGAGAAACGATCGTCAAGTGAGCAGTGCAAGTTTGTATGATTTTGACTGTATATCATCATTATTTCGCTATCATATTACTTACGTAAGGGAGGTACCTATATATAGAGAGGACGATTGAATATATATATATATATATATATATATATATATATATATATATATATAAACGCTCTTAAAGGCCTTTTTAGTCACTTCCTTTTATTAAAAAGTACTTTTTCATTCGAAGTTATTACGGGGCCGTTTTCTCTCTTAATTTGAACTCGAAACAAGGTACTTATCAATTTCGGGCTGGATTTAGTACAACTATAATTTATAGCCGCAATGCTTAAGGCTGTATTGTCTCTTCTCAACTATGCAACACTCGAAATTGGAGTCAACTCCAGACATCCCATCTAGTATTATATAAGCACATAAATTTCAAGTGGCTTTATGCACTACGTTGAGTTGTTCTACCTTACGTCAGTGATATTTCTTTCAAGGAAATGTATTTCATTTTTATGTTTGGTTTTCAACAGCAAAGAAAAAACACAAAATATAAATAGGTGTCTCTGAAAGTGTTGTGGGCCAATAGTGATCGATAAAGTCGGATAAAGCTGACAGATACTACAGGTACCAAGTAACTGACTACTCGACGGCTAGCAATTGCATCACTTTGGCTCCAGGAATGCATAAGATAAACATACAACCTAACTCGACTAAGTGCCACCCCGCCATTCGTTTGTGTTCCCAGTGGTCTTTGAAAGGGAACTGCGTGGACTCGTGATGCACTTCAAGGCTTGTTAATTAGTTTGTTTGCATCCATTGTGTGTCACGTATGTGGCCGGTATTGTGTGCCTGAACCTGAATGTTTGCAGGGCGGAAGCAATTAAAAACTATGTGGTGTGCATGAATTACTAGGATTCTGTATGTGAAATGTATGTTTGTGGTGATGTGCTTGTGTTTCTGCAAAATGTAGAATGTGCGCAGTATAAGATTGTTGTACGCATGACCGATTGCACGACAAAGGGTAATCGGCAAAGAAAAATGATGATTCTGATGGGGCTGATGAGAGACCATGTGAGAATATAGCTACAAAACAAGGACCGGAAAAGGTAACAGCAGATGCAAAAAGAGGCACTACCACTTCGACTACTAGTACTATATGAACGTTTCAAGTTTTACATTCAGTTCTGAAGCCGTTAAGCATAGATTCAGATTAACAGCCACATTTCAGATGAATTATTGTATGGAAAATGTAATGTATTTATGCGTGAGTACGAATACATGAAGGAGTTTACGAAGACGATGGTCCAGTGATCAAAACGTCGTGGCTCTTATTAGATATAGTTTTTTTTTAGTTGAATTTAGTTAACGGTCATCAGCTAAGAGCATGACAATAACTACCGGTTTGCCAACAGAACGTTGTTCAGGGGGGGGGGGGGGGTGTTGGCCTTACGAATCTAATCGTGTTTTTGGTCTTGGAATGGCAGTTCTCATAGTTATAGTTTGCTGAAAGTTTTCTTATTATTTCGAATTATCAAAATTTTTAAGGTAATTGATTTTCTTCGTATATTGCGTAGCCCTAGTAGTGACCTCAGTTTCTTAAATAACTAGTGGTGGCTCTTCGAGATTCTGAAGCTTTTTGTTAACGATGAAATAGACGACTACTTGACTCACACTGATAGACACAGCTTGGCCTAGGCGCGTCAGATCACTTGAGCTCCAGAAATATTTATCATTCGTTTTAACATTCGATCGATCCTAATCAATCACATCAGCTATCTGTTCTCGCTTTGTCCCGCCTAAGCTAGTTATTTTCTTCTAGAAATGCTGTTCTAACATACTATGACATCCTTCAAGACATGTACAAAATAAAAGAACCTGAAAATCGAAATTGTGAGTTTATGTTTAATACAAGTCAAGTTGTTTATACGAGCATTCATCTTAATAAGGATGATAAAAAAAAAAAAAATAGGTGACTGCAAGAATTCCCTGTGTGACAAGATTCCAATCATGACAAGACAAATTTCATGTTAATGTACCGCAGACCGCTATTTTAAACTATTACTGTATCAAGAGTTTCACTACTGCTGCTGCTGCTGCTATTAATCGCTACCCATTATGTTTCTTCATTATTATACTTTTTGTTCTGCTCTATTTCTACAGACAATATGGCTATATAATTATTAAGCACAAAAGTTTTGCAGATGCAGAAATGTCGGCTTCAACAAAATTGACAACGACATAAAAATCTCTTACCACCGAAATTCTAATACTGAAATAGTTTTCTTCTGAGACAAGACGAAGGGTGCAGTTTCCCAAGCCGGTATACCAGTGTACTATAATAATCGGGCTTGTGACCTATCTATTCGCTAGTCCGTGTCGCTATACCTTTGTGACAAATTAATGATGACGGCTATATTGAGCTCCTGTTTTTTTCTTAAGGTAATGTGAGATTCCCATCTTACTTCACGCATTAATTAAAGTAGAGCAGGGAAACAAACAGTGCGGAGAACGAGAGTCCCATAATGGAATGGAATGTGCAGCCGCTATAGTCGTAACGATATAAAAATATTATTATTAAATATAAGCGGAATATGAACTGAAGGGCACACGTACTTTAATGACGAAATATTTATACCAGACTATAAGTGGGATAACGTCAAGAAAACGACGAACGATAGGTGAAATGCAAAGTGATACTGATTGTGAAGGAAATAATGAATGACTACACACAGTTACATAAACACCGAGTAAATCCGACAGAACGTGGCATACATATGTGTAATATGAAGAAAAGACAAACAGTTAGCGATGAATAGAGCAAAAGTCAACTAGCGAACAGCCGGAATAGCTGTGCGAGTTATGTCTGTATTATGTATGTAGATAACGAGCTCATCGGGGTTATCAATGCAAACGTGGAGAAAAACAAGGCAGAGCAGATGATGGTGTTACATCGCAGGTACGCGATAGATAACGAATATCGACTTGAAGCGAAGCGGGAGTCTGATTTTGGCCTTCTCTACTCATCGTTATCGTCTACATGATGAACAGCAGCAACAGCGGAGTATAGCAAGCTGTTGTGGTAGGCCTTACCAAAAAAGTGCCCTAAAATTAACAGATTTAAGGTAGCAAGATGTGCTGAGCCTGACCCGTCGCTAGTAAAGCTGAATGCGAGAAGTTCATGTGTCGTTAGTTTTATCGAACAACAGCTGACAACATTATTGGCTCACCAGCAAATAGCGAAGAGATTACGTAAAAAGGACTCCAACCATAGCTATAAATGGTACTATAACAGTATAAAAGTATCGCTATGGTTTTTATGGGAAATGAGGGTCATTGTTTTTAGTTTTAAAATTTGGCGCTCCAATCAATTCACAGACCAGACACAGACACAGACACACACACCCACGCACACACCCGACCACCTTCACTTCTTGTTGAATTTTTTTATATAAATTGTTAATTTCTTTTTAGAGCAAGATGGTAACGAACTGAAAATAATCATTGTATTTTATATATAGATATTAGATGTATAATGCAAATTGCGATAGAGTGCAATTGTGGTTATATTGGTTATTATAATAATTATTATATATAAAAGATTTTGCTTGTACACACTTGGAGGTTACGTTATAGGGAGAAAATTGTTATTTCGCTTTTATTTCTATTATAATCGGGGGGAGCAGACGATGCAAGCTAACCAGAATTGGTATAGGAAAGTTGAACCAAAGCAAAATGCGTTTTGCAGACAGTTTTAGTTGCGATTTTCACAATTCCAATGTACAGGACGAATAAGACCAAATGGCAGATAGATCTCCCTATAAGTCAGCCCCGGTGCCAACTCCACTGTGACATGGCAGCAACAATGTTACTGTAAATCTCTATCAACAACATCACCAACAATAAAATGTCAATAAGGTCTGGCGAGTCTTCATTGTCAACATCTGAAAAAAGCTAGGAATGATTGATTCAAACGCGCGAAGCATGAGATATTGCTCAGTAATCTATTATATAATCCCCTGAGCTGTCGTAGGCGATGCCAGCTAATCGATTGTAAACACGAGCGAAGATTAGTTTAGTTGCCACTTTAATGCTAGATTTCTCTCAGGATGTCTGTGGAGATTGTTCTTTTTCTCTCCTAGATATCGAAAGCTCAGCTTCTATCGCACGCTATTCGTGTGTGTGTGTGTGCGAACATGACTAGTGAGTTGGTGAGAAGCACGGCCTTCATCGCGCAACATGTTTCTTATCGCTGCAACCCTTGTCAAAATGGATCGCGCCGCGTGCTACATGATAAGACTACTAGTAACTTTTTTTCTATGGCCGCCTCATATGTTATTTACAGATTGATTCATAGCCTATAATCTAGTGTTGCCTCATCTGCACTATAATAAATTCAATGGCTTTATTTATTCATCTTAACAAGCCAATATAAAACGTGGCATACTTTATTTGGTGATATGTTTATTCTTTGCCGTTGTATTTGTGCCTGACTCGGTTCAAAGAAGGTAGTTTCACCCTCAAATATTTTTATATTTGACTTTTGTTGCCCACACAACATCTATAGAACTGCCGGTTATCCGCATTACCTTGCTATTTCATTCCCGCACGTATTACCTCATTAACTTTCAGTTAGTTCAATTAAGTTGTCAACTGGATATTTGCTCAATATGATTTATCTTCTCCACGAATTCACCCATTCTGCTGACGGCCCTTGGCGGTTTATTATAATATCTCGTATGTTTTTCTCACAAGTGCTTCACAAACGTGATGCTTGTTTATTGCGTGTACTTATACCTAATATATTAAAATCTATGTAGTTTCACCGTCACGTAGACTAGCGGTTCCGGATATCGCGTATGTACTCTTAGTTCCACTCTCTTTATCTCTATCGCGTTTTTAATTATCCTGCAAAGCTACCGCATCAGCCTATCGCATTAAAATTTGTGTATATTCACAACAACGAGCTGGCAATATGGGACACTGGCACGTCACCTACTGCAGCGGCTGGCTGCAGCTGTGCTAACGATGAAGAAGTTCCCGTTGCTGCAGCTTCGAACAGATGTCTCGCTGGAGGCAATGGCGTCGAAATTGGCGCGGTAGTTCCGTTCTCACTACTTGCAGATGCGTGTGGATGCTGTTGATGATATACTGTGACATTTGTAATGGGGGACTGCTGCTGGTGCTGCGATGAGAGACGAACCTGGGAAGTTGTTGGGGCTAAGGGTACCGCGCCCATATGCGAAGTCACCATGGGGGGTACGAACTGTGTAGGAATGTGGCTTTGCCCACTTGTGGCGGATGTGGGCATTGGTACAAACGACTCCAAATAGCTTGGTTGTTGCGGCTGAGAAACTCCCGGCTGCATGGGCATCGCATGGTGCTGCTGCTGCTGCTGCTGCTGCTGTTGATGATCATGAATAGATGCTGTTACTGCTGCTGGTGGTGTGGTGGTGGCCTGGTGTTGTTGAACAAACATGGGCACGCCTACGGTGATGGGTGGAGCGCTGTAGGGTGGCAACGACGAGAGAGTTGACACGATCGATGCTGTCTGCTGGAAGGGGTACACGACAGGGATAGTACTACCGCCCGGTGCCCCCTGGACAACCCCCTGAACTGGCTGTGGTGCTGCGGGCTGCTGTTGCTGCTCAGCAGTCGGGGTGGGGACCATCTCGAATCCGTCATTCAGTTCGCTGCTCTCGGGATCGGCACGACCGCTCGTACCTGTTAGCTCAGCTGCACTGCTCGACACCGTTGACGAGGGCGGTCTCGGCGGTTGGTCAGCAGAGGGCGCTGCGGAGGCTTCGGCCATCACCGGCTGAAACATCGAGGCAGGATTGTAGAACTGAACAAACTGGGGAGCAGCCGCCGCTGCAGTTGGCTGTTCCACTCCGACAGATACAGTCGTCATCAGCAGAGGCTGTGGTACGCCCACATCAGAGACTGTTGCAGTCTGCGCAATGGGGGCCGGTACCACTGAAGTGATAGCTTGTACTGCCGGAGATTCAGGCAAGACGGCAGAAGCGATGACCGAAACCGGCGGTGGAGCTGGTGTAACGAGAGTTGTTTGTCCTATCGAAGTCAGCAAAGCACCTTGAACTGAAGATTCTCGCAGAGACTGCTGCAGCGGCAACATTGGCTGGCCTGAGGAGGTCGTCAACAAAGGCTGAGCTGAGGCATCGCTGGTGCCACCGCCACCACTACCGCCACCGAAGACGCCACTGAGCGAATGCGAAATAGAGGTTGCCATGGAAACTACTGGATGTGGAACAAGTGTCCCTTCAGCTGTGTCGTTAAGGAAAACATTCTGCACTTGATTGCATACATCGTGTAACGCGGACTCCTGCAAATTCTGCTCGGGTTGAGCATCCCCTCCATCAATGGGGTAGTCGATTGAGCGACCGAGAGCTCTTAATTGATCCTCGTATCTCTTAATTTTAGCCTCCTGATCCATCATTAAATCAAGGAGGTCTTCGAGTTGAGTTGTCTTCGTCTGCAGTTCAGCTGTCTTCGCTTGTAGCTCAGCTTCTAATTCAACAACTCTGAAAGACAAGGAATGTTGACCCGTAATTAGCAACAGCACAAAATAGGCACATTATTTTCATCGTACTGTGTGCACTATAAAGAGCTAAATAGATAAACTAACTTCAAAAGAAAAACAATGTTCTTCAACCCAAATCAAACTCAGTTACAAGCAGACCGTTTGCAAAGTCGAATTAATATATTAATAATTGTCTCAATTGTTCAGAATCATTTATTGCCACAGGAGTATATATATTGCGTTCATACGTTACTACAGCGAAATTCTTCTAATTACGGGTTTTTACCTCTGTTTCGAATACTGATATTGTTCGTAGTAGTTCTTCTCAAAGACAGGCGCAACCATTTGTACTGGAGGACCAGACGCCGTCGATATGGGAAAACTTCCAGACGACTGTTGAGTGCCAGTGGGTAACATTGGAATATGTGTTGAAGGCTGAATACCCCCACCTGCTGCAGTACTGGACGCCGTCGCTGCCACCGCGTGGGGTAAAGCAGAGCCGCGACTTTCACGTAGTTCAGCGATAAGCTGTTCTTGCTGACGAATAACCTTTTTGAGGTCCTCAATTTGTTTTTCTTGTACATCATTTTCATCCAGGCACTTGTGTAACATGTTTTCTACGCCTCGGTACATGCTGCAAAAGTTGTGGTCGAGTAGTGTCTGCTCGCTTACTATCTGTGGCGAACGCAGGGCGGCTGTATAACAGGGTTGCTTTGAGAGCATACTCAGCTTTTCGAGAAAACTGTCTTTTCCGACTCGATTGACAATGAGAGTCCGTATAGCCGTTCGATTAAATGCGTCCACGATATCATCGTTGAAGACAATACAAAGCGCCAAAGTCGTGGCACAAAGTGATTGAACGATAGCTTCTTGTTGCTCGTTCGATGGTAAACAAAGCTCGGAGGTTAGATACGATATGTTGTCCGATGCGTTGACAAACTTGGCAACATTCGTTTCCGAGCCACAAAGCCACGTAGTGATAAGAATCAGGTAACCAATACGGGCTTGATTTGCAGCATTTGGGTTTTTAAGCGAGACAGTTACCTCGAATAACACGGGATCAAGGATTTTCCGCTCGGTGACGAAATATGACACAGCCATCGCCGCTAGCCAGTTAGACATTGGCTCTTTCGCCGATAGACCCTGATGTAGGAGTTTGGTTTCTGCGCCGTTATCGAACTGATCGATCAGCTCGTTCTGGATATCGGCGTTCCCATGAACATAGCACTGGAAACAATAGAGGATAGCACACCGAAGATCCATGGGCTGCTTCTCGATGAGCATGGACATTAGCAGAAGGAGCACGACGGGCGTTTGTGGCGGAGACGGCGTTTTCACGGCGCGAAACTGGATCTGATTCTCTGCGCAACCGCGAATCACTTCGGCCACTGTGTTGATCGTCTCCCAAAGAACGTGCGCGGGTACACCGGATGCCATGAGAGTTTCGCAAAGTACGCTAAGGAGGCCGGTTTTTTGCAAGCTGGTCTGACACGAGCGGGTCACATTGTTCGGGTTATTGGGACTGACTAAACATCGGATAACCCGATACATAGCTAGGACGTTAGCTACCTTGCTTTGAGACCAATCGCTACTAATTTCGCTCAGCTGAGTAAAGAATTCTACCAGACGTCCTATATAGGGGCCCTCCTTGAAATAATTCAAATTGGAGATATTGTTATGAAGTAGGTTAAGCATGATCGTCAACGAATCCTCCACTACGATGCCGCCATCTGCGAAGCCCTCGCTTGAGATAATATCCAGAAGACGGTCAAATGCCGACTCGAACGCAACAATCTTCTGGATGTTGGCATTGCCCTTTGTTAGTTGAGTCAGCATCAGTAGTGCATCATTTCGTATTACTTCCCGGCTGTCTACCAGCAAATCCATGAGACGAGAGATAGCCATTGGCGAAGACAAGACAGCATTTTGCATTTGCTTCGTCTGGTGAAGTACAAGTCCCGAAAGCAGTTTAATCGCAGACCATCGAACATTGAAGTCGTGTTCCTGTAATTAACCCAAAACAGGTTTATTGCCTAATGGGAAGCACCAGCACAACTATTCCAGATTATGCAAAAAAATTCGAGCTTAGAAATTATATTTTAGTAATTAATGAATTGGTGGTTGTGGCAGCATTTGATCCGAACGCATGGGCAACGCTGAAAAAGACGCCCATATTTAACAGTGACTTTTACTCACCTCAATGAGATCCAACACGGCTCCGACGTTAGCGCAATCTTTGATGAATATCTCTGTGAACTGCTCGCCTAGTTGATCCTGCTCACAAATAACCTCCGAAAGAGCTTCCAAGGCAAGATTGATAATTTCCAGGTCGGACCGATCCTGGTTTAGTACGCGCAGGAGAGAGGGCATTCCCTGAGCACCAACCTCCACGCGGTAGTTCTAAAATGTAGATTATCATACCTATTAATACACATACGCTATATATATATATA